GCCTGGGCAAGATGCTTGCAGCAGCCGATGGGGGGGGGGAGAAGTAGTTGTGCTGGGTGCGAGCCGCGCGCGGGGAGGGTGGACGTGGCCCGTGGAACGGCGCGCGACCTGTCTGTGACGGCTGGGAGCCGAACCCCCTTCCCCCGTAGAATCTGAACAACGGCGGGCTTGGATGCCGCCGATTCGATTTCCGTCCGCCCGCTGATCTACTTTGATGAAGGGGCCCCAGGACACACAAATAAATACACACAAGTAAGCCAATCCCCCATATGTTCCCATGTTTTCTGTTTTTTGTGTGTCTTCCCCTCGCTTCCCATATGTTCCCATATTTTCTGGGGAATCGAGGATTAATTGTGTCTTTTCCTCCTGATTTGATATTCTAGATTTAAAACGGCGTGTTGATCGGATCCGCGTGAAAAACAGGGTGGAAATCAGATCCACTAAACATTCCAAACCAACTTCGGACCCGCACCAGCTCAGTTGGATCCGCCAAGATTTATTGAATCGCTTCGCTCATTCCGCCGGCCCGTGATATGGCATCGCTGGTTTTTGTCTGTGTGTTCGTTGCCCATGTTGCGCTCTTGGGGGCGGGTGTCGTTCGGACGCGTTGCGTGGGGAGTTTTGATGGTGAAGCAGTTCCCTGGGGGTCGTCTCTCGATGGGGCGAAATAGAGTCGTCGTCAAGATGCTTCTTTGGGGGGCCTCTTGGGGTCTGTTGAGAGGCCGTTCGGGGGCGCCTGGGAGACATGTTTGAAGCCTTCTGGGGCTTCTTTTGGGCCTCCTGGGAGTCTCCTGGGGCCTCTTGGCGACATCTTGGGGCCTCTTGGAGGCCTCTTGGGGCCTCTTTGGGACCTCCTGGGCGCCTTCTGGGACGGAGGGCTCCATTTTTGAGTTCTCGGTATCCCTCCTGAGTCCCTCTTGGGCCCGTCTTGGGGCCTCTTGGTCCGTCTTGGGCGGCACTTGGGCCGTCTTGAGGGCTCTCTTGGGTCGTTTCGGCGCCGTCTTGGGAGCTTCGTGGGCCGTCTTGGAGCGGTCTTGGGGGCCTCTTGGGCCGTCTTGGAGCGTCCGGAAGCCGAAAAAGCCAGAACACAAAAAACATCGAAAAAACAAATGAAAATCAACGATTTTGGCCTCTTGGGGCTCTCTTCGGAGGCCTCTTGGAAGGCTCTTGGGGCGTCTTGGAGGCCTCTTGGGCTGTCTTGGGGGCCTTTTGGGCCGTCTTGGGGTCATCTTCGGCGTCTTCGAGCGCTCTTTGGGCGTCTCGGGGGCCTCTTGGGCAGTCTTGGGGGCCTCTTGGGGCACTCTGAGCGCGCTCTGGGGAGCCTGAGAGGCCGCACCCAGAAGGAAAACCATCTCTGAGTAGACTTGGTCGGGCGGCGGTCGGGCGGCGGTCGGGCGGCGGTCGGGCGGCGACCGGGCGTTGGTCGGGGTACTTTTCGCCGGGGGACCCCCAGGGGCCGCCCCGCGCGCGCGAACTAGAAATACTGTTAATACTGTTAACCAGTTACCGGAGATCTTAGCACGCCCTGGCCCGTTGGGCCGGCGAATTTCATGCGCGCTGGCGCAAGAGCTGAAGGCACCATGCTTGGGCCCAAGAAGAAAAACCTTCGTCATGGGGATGCACTTAGCTTCTTCTTTCCGGGCAAAGATTTTGCGTGGCGTGTTATACTTACCATTGTGCGAATAAAAACGTCGCCAGGCTCTCACCACACAGCTTACTCCGCGTTCTTCGGTAAGCGTTAGGGGTGTGGATCGCATGGGGGTGTAGGACTACGTCGGGCACGTCCCTCTAGAGGAGGAAAACTCAAAAATAGTGTGTGTGTGTGTGTATATAAATATATAAATTCGCCGGCCCAACGGGCCAGGGCGTGCTAAGATCTCCGGTAACTGGTTAACAGTATTAACAGTATTTCTAGTTCGCGCGCGCGGGGCGGCCCCTGGGGGTCCCCCGGCGAAAAGTACCCCGACCAACCGACCGCCGCCCGACCGCCGCCCGACCGCCGCCCGACCAAGTCTACTCAGAGATGGTTTTCCTTCTGGGTGCGGCCTCTCAGGCTCCCCAGAGCGCGCTCAGAGTGCCCCAAGAGGCCCCCAAGACTGCCCAAGAGGCCCCCGAGACGCCCAAAGAGCGCTCGAAGACGCCGAAGATGACCCCAAGACGGCCCAAAAGGCCCCCAAGACAGCCCAAGAGGCCTCCAAGACGCCCCAAGAGCCTTCCAAGAGGCCTCCGAAGAGAGCCCCAAGAGGCCAAAATCGTTGATTTTCATTGGTTTTTTCGATGTTTTTTGTGTTCTGGCTTTTTCGGCTTCCGGACGCTCCAAGACGGCCCAAGAGGCCCCCAAGACCGCTCCAAGACGGCCCACGAAGCTCCCAAGACGGCGCCGAAACGACCCAAGAGAGCCCTCAAGACGGCCCAAGTGCCGCCCAAGACGGACCAAGAGGCCCCAAGACGGGCCCAAGAGGGACTCAGGAGGGATACCGAGAACTCAAAAATGGAGCCCTCCGTCCCAGAAGGCGCCCAGGTGGTCCCAAAGAGGCCCCAAGAGGCCTCCAAGAGGCCCCAAGATGTCGCCAAGAGGCCCCAGGAGACTCCCAGGAGGCCCAAAAGAAGCCCCAGAAGGCTTCAAACATGTCTCCCAGGCGCCCCCGAACGGCCTCTCAACAGACCCCAAGAGGCCCCCCAAAGAAGCATCTTGACGACGACTCTATTTCGCCCCATCGAGAGACGACCCCCAGGGAACTGCTTCACCATCAAAACTCCCCACGCAACGCGTCCGAACGACACCCGCCCCCAAGAGCGCAACATGGGCAACGAACACACAGACAAAAACCAGCGATGCCATATCACGGGCCGGCGGAATGAGCGAAGCGATTCAATAATAATCCGGGGATGATGTTTAGACTACTTTTGATTATCGTTGAGCGTGTTTTGACTATTTTTCCATTCTTCGTCCGAAATCCACCTGTAGGAGGGCACGCCCGACCGAAGTGTAGGACTGGGCTGTCCTTCGCAGGGCGTGGGGAGCCTGGATCGACTGCGGGCGTGGGCCCGGTGGAAGAAGGGGGGCAGAACAGGCCGTCGAGCGGAGTGGAGGAGGAGGAGGAGGAGGATGAGGAGGAACGACAAGGAATATGAAAATGATGAGGAGGAAGAGGAGGAACGACAAGGAGGATGAGCGAGGAGGACGAGGGCGGGGGAGGAGGTGGAGGCGGAGGAGGCGGAGGAGGAGGAGGAGCAAGGAACGAGGGCGGAGAAGGAGGAGGAAGAGGAGGAAGGAGGAACGAGGAGCGAAGAACGAGGAGCGAGGAATGAGGAGTGAAGAACGAGGTGCGAGGAACGAGGAGCGAAGAACGAGGAGTGGGAGGGTGCTCGATGAACAATTCGGATCAACGATCGGCCATACGCAAGAGTGACCTCTGGGTAGGAGTGACCTTCGGTGCGCAGCTATTTTGGGGGCCGCGGGGGGGGGGGGAGCAAACCTGGGCGCGCAAGCAGCTGCTACTGCTTTGTCTTCAGCCATCTGGGGACCCCATCTGTGCCCGCACCACAGGTCACTCCAGCGAACCCTTCCGAGGGACACATTGCCATCGGAATATGGGTCGCGAGACATAGGACACAAGGCTACCATTGATTTGGCAGGGTCGACCTACTAATCCGCTTCGACTGTAGCGCACACCTCGCAGCTTGCACCGCATAGCATAAACCGTATGCCTTACACCACTCAGCCTACACCGCATGTCTTGTAGCACATCGCTTGTACCGCATAGCTTACACCACATATGTAGATTGCACAACCTAGCTTACGCCGCATACCTTCGCCACGTAGCTTTACTGCTTGGGGTCCGCGCTGGCAAGCAACCCTGCTGGCAAAGACAACGTGAGTGTGGTGCAAGCCATGTGCACCCTGAAACGCGGGCCATCCCCCGGCGGCGCGCAGGACGGGGGTCTTCCTCCTCCTTCTCCTGCTCCTGCTCCTCCTCCTCCTCCTCCTCATCATCATCATCATCCTCCTCCTCCTCCTCCTCCTCCTCCTCCTCCTCCCTATCCCTCCTCCTCCTCCTCCTCCTCCTCCTCCTCCTCCTCCTCCTCCCCTCCTCCTCCTCCTCCTCCTCCTCCTCCTCCTCTTCCTCCTCCTCCTCCTCTTCCTCCTCCTCCTCAACCAGACCCACCCAGCGCACGGAACGCCTACGCAGCGGCCACGGGCGCCCATCGGGCGAAAACCTGGCAGACCCGGCCATTGCTCTGGGACCAGTGGGAACCCCTCGGTGCAAGCATCGCTTCAACCGCAGCAAGAACAGCGGAGGAAATACCTATGCAGTGAGGGATGCGGGGGCCGCCGAGGTAGGATATCCAGACGCGAGAAGCATCAGCACAATAAATGGCAGAACCCCCATACCAACGTCAGATCATAGTACACGGACAATGAGCGTGCGTGATATTCCAGGCAAGACAATGCCGCTTTCAGGGCAGGGTGACACGTGGCGGTGGCGATGGTTTTGACGGTGGCGATGTTTCTTGTTGCGCCGACAAGAGTCAAACCTTTGACTCTGGTCGCGCCAGCGCAACAATGGAGCAAACCTATATGCTGCTGGCTCACAGCCAGGGATGCGAATCCACCTCCGTCGGGCGCGCAATCAAGAGCGCATCAGGAGGAGCCAATGCGCCTGTGGTTATGGGATAAACCAGCGGTTAAAATACAAAAACTGTATCCGCTAAAGCATAACCAAGAGAAGGCGAGACAAGTCGAAGAGCGGTGGAATTACAGTATTGTCCTACTAAACGCGGAGGATGAATGAAGACATGATCGCTGACTAGGCAGAGGCATCTCTCTCGCGAGCGCGCAAACCATGTATTAAAAACGTCCCTGTTGTGTTGTCCTGCTTGATGCAAGTATGCAAAACAATGAGTACGTACTCACATAACTTTATGGAAAAAAAACGCTGGCGTTCGCCGCTGGAGGCCCAGTCCCAAGGCACCAGGCCTCGAGGCCGGCCCTCGGCATGCGATCACACGTTGCCCTGGGCCTGATTCTGCTCCACGCGTGGCCGCGGTCTCATTGGCGCTCAGCTGTCGGGGACGCGCCGGCTTCGCTACCGCTGCCAGACGGGGAAGAAGACGTGCTGGCCTCGCCAGTGCCGGCCTCGACGCCGTGGCCAGTCGCGGCCGCCCTGCGCAGCCCTGGCGGCCGCCGCACGCGTGGCCTCGGCGCCGCCGCAGCCCACGCCAGAGCCAGCGCGGCGCGCCTCGGGTGTGCGCCGAGGTCAAAGGGGCTGCCGACGAGCCAGTCGCACGGGGGGCCCTGACCTTGGTCCTCGAGGATGAGCGGCCAAATAAATGGTGTGGCGGGTGGTCGTCCGCACCGCGCGGAGAGCCCATGCCAACACGAGGAACCTTACTGATTGGGTGCTTCGGTGAAATCGTCCAGAATAGGCTCGGGCCAGAATGCCTTGAGCCAGAATGACTGCGGATTTTGACTTAGGTCGGGCCTGTCCCCCTACAGGGGGATTTTGGACGAAAACTGGAAAAGTACTCGACAAATACCCAACAGATGCCCCAAAATACTCCAAAAATAGCCCCCAGACTATTTTTGTTTTGCCTATTTTTGCATCTTCCCCCTGTATAGGGACAGGCCCGACTTAAGACCACGGATCTTGACAGTGGCAACGTTGGTGGCGGTGCTGGCAGCCACGGCCAAGAGCGCCGGCCACCGGCGCGCTCCTTTTCTAGCACAGCTCGAGGACGCCGCTGGGCACGCCCAGGCTGGGGCACGCCCTGGCGCAGGTGCAGAAAGCCGCCTCCGCGCCCCGGGCACGCAGCAGAGCACCCTCGCTCGAGGAGGAGGGGGACGAGGAGGAGGAGGAGGAGGAGGAAGATGAGGAGAAGGATGAGGAGGAGGCCCACGAGGAGGAGGACCAGGACGAGGACGAGGAGGAGGAGGAGGAGGAGGCTCGTGCCACTGGTGCACCTCATGAAAACACTTTTTAAACAAAAGTCCAAACAGATCTCATACCCACGATCAAGGTGCGAGGAGAAGACGTAGTGCATCCTGAAGGCCCCAGCACTGCGATATTTAGTGGCTCCCAGAATGATCGCGGGGCTCCCGAAATTCATCGCCTGACTTCGCTCGGGCCGCTTCTTCGCCCCATGCCACCAGCCTTGGGGCCCTCCTGCGAATGCCTGGGGTCGTGCCGGCCTCTCAGGCAACACTTTCTTGATCCGCGGGTCGAGAGCGCACCTCTTCCGGTCGAAGCTAAGCGGGCCGCGCACAGCTTGAATTGACGAGAGGGGGGCAGAAGGAGGGGCCTCACAGCAAGGCCGGACTCTCGGGCAACACGGGGCGCCAACTTCGCCAGGTCGGGTGCTTCTTGGGCCCTCACTCGAGGAGGGGGGGGACGAGGAGGAGGAGGAGGAGGAGGAGGAGGAAGATGATGAGGAGAAGGATGAGGAGGAGGCCCACGAGGAGGAGGACCAGGACGAGGACGAGATCTCGAGGCCGACGTGGCGAGAGTCGCGCGATCACAGGGCGGGGAAGGTGGATGGGCCGAGGCCCCCGTTCCTGTTGCATCTTGTTGTGGAGGGAGGGCCGACTGGCCCGCGCTCTCCGATCCTTATCGCCCTACAGGGCAGGTTTTCATGCACAGGATGTTTGAAAATATATGTTTTTTTCATACATGATTAGTTCATGAATAAATGTATGCACGAACTCGTCGTTGCTTGTAATACTACATACCTGCATTTGTAATACATGATCCGCACGCGGAGCATGTATGAAAAACGGCAATGTACTGTTCGGATTCACGATGGATCCACGCTGATGCCCGTGGTGGGATCTGGGCGAAGACGTGTGCTGCAGCAGGGGTCACGGTTACATCTGCCGTGCTTCCGCGAAGGCTCCGACGTTTGAACTCTGAAGGAACCGTATGAATTCGCAAGGGACACGCCTGGTTCCACGATGGTTCTAAGATGGTTCCCATGGTTTCCTAACCCCAGCGGACTGGTGGTAGCGAGCAGACGCAGCACGCTCAGCAGTGCCACTGAATCTACATCCACTCTTAAGCCGTGTGCGATTGAAACCTGCAGAAGAAGGACGAAGAGGAGGAGGAGGAGGAGGACGACGAAGAGCAAGAGACCATGATTCTAAAATGGTTCCCATGTTGGAATGTTGACGAAACCCTGAGTTCACATGGATCCTGCTCGGTTCCTGGGCGAAACGATGCACTGGTGAGCGTTTCCTTATTCGGCGTTTCGACATTGGGCGGAAAGGGCGGGGGGGAGGGGGGGGTCTGGCTGCTTGCAGCAGCGCGTCCTTTGGGGGAGACGCCACCTGCTCAAAACAGGCGCCAAGAATAGCCAAGATCTACTCCAGTAGGGGGGGAGGGTTGCGAGGGCCCGCGCCGATCGGCAAAACAATGAATTACTCCGACGGTAGGACCCCACATGAGAATCTGTTTAGCTTGCCTGGGGACCTCCTCCTGCCCCCTCATTCCTCCCACCTACTCC